CCTAAACCCTAAAGGGTTCAGGGTTTCAGGCGGTTTCTGGTTTTGGAGCTTCAAGTGTTTCGGGCTTCAGGGTGGAGGGTTTGAGCTCGGGGTCGGGGGGGAGCGATTGCTGTGTACTTGGGGGTCGGGGTTTAGGGTTTCAGGGTTAGGATGTTGGGCTGCGAAGTCTGGGACTTTACGCCATGAAGTCTGCAAGTCGAGGTTTGACCATAGTTTGACGTGGAACTCCCTTTGAAGTCCCTCCAGACTCTATACAACCATTTGCCCCAGAACCCGCATCTGTTCATGAAGGGCCGCAGAGCTAGCCAGCGATTGAAGTTTGGGGCGGGTGGGTGGGGGGTTCAAGATGCCCCAAAGACGCGTGTTTAGGGTTTAGGGTTTAGGGTTTAGGGTTTACCACAAGTTTCGTTACATGAAAGTTCATAGGCAATGCCGTCATTGGGAGAAGAGGTGTCACGTCTAAGGAGGGTTCGCAAGGGGCTTTATGGACCATGGCTAGTTGTGATTGAAGGTGGGGGATTACATGTAATTGCCCTAGTTAGGTGGTTTATCGGGATCCGGTGTGCTTCCAGCAACTTGGAGAGTGTCAAAGCAGATCTCCGGTCCCGGAAACAAAGCCCCGAAAGCCCTCACCACTGCACAATCTAGCTTGCTTGCTTGTAGAGGAGCTGAATATAGGTCAGCATAAAACATGGACGAATAGTAAATGAGAGGCTTTGCTTAGCGTGGGAGCCTAAATTAAGAACACTTTAAACACCACCAGCCCTATATTCCCACCTGCTCAGGTGAAACGCCACGACCGCGTAGGCCGTGGCTACGCCGAAAAGGCAAAAGTCACCTCAGACGGCTGAACATGATGGATCAATACGATTAACGTTTTTCGTGATCATGGTTTTAAGGTTTCGGGCTTGGTGGGTTTAGGATTCGGCTGAAGAACCATAGCTTCATACTAGAGTCTTATCAGTTATTATGGGTCAGGGTGTACGATATGCTAGCGTAGTATGAGGTATGGATTAGGGTTTAGGCTTTAGTCAGGTAGTATCACGTAGGGCTTAGGATATACTGAAATACCCAGAGATCCCAATACCCCTTAATTAAGGAATATACCTTAAGTTATAGGGGCCTTAATATTATGGTTTAAGGTATATTCCTGAATTATATAAGGGGTATTGGGCTCTCTGGGTATATACAGGTTCTACGCGGGTAACGCCCGGGATCGCGTTGCAAAATCTTCGTTGTTGGATCGGTGGTACAGAAGTCGAGCAGGTGTGCACAGTGCCATAAACAAGGCAAACAGGCAGATAAGGATTCTGTAAGGGCGCCACAGTGGTCTAAACCCTAAACCCTAAACAGAAAACCCTAAACCCTAAACCCTAAATGTAGGTCTCAAAAACAATGAGAGCTTTATACTTGAAGGTCTGAGATGGCTCGCGGTTCTTCAAGGACGTTTGTTGGGGCTACAAAGTTTCATAAAACCCTAAACCCTAAGCCCTAAACCCCTAAACCCTAAACCCTAAACCAAAACAGTTGTATACTTGAAGGCTCGGGGCTTAGCACCTCTGCTTGTAGGAGTAGGGTTCAGGGTTTGAGACAAACTTGCGGTTCAGGGTTCAGGATCAAAGGATGTTGTCAGGTGTGCATAGGGGTTCGTAGATGTTTAGACCCTACCCCAGACCCTAAACCCTAAACATACTAAGCCTAAACCCTAAACCCTAAACCCCTAAACCCTAAACCCTTAAGGGGTTCCAGAAGGTCTGGGGGGCTGTCTGGCTGCAATCGGGCTCATACTGGGGTTTAACTTTTGAGGCTTTGTGGATAAAAGATTGGTAAACGTAGGGTTTGGGTTTGGGGCTTAGGGTTTCAGGTCTAGGGCTTAGGGTTTAATATAATTTGCGTCCCTGTTGTTGGATGGCACTTACCAAGGATCCTTGCAGCTTGGGGAGTGGCAAGAACTTTACAGGGTGCAGGGATGTCCCAAAACCCTAAATCCTGAACCCTGCAAAGTTTCTCTGACCCCGGGCCAAAAAAGCTCTCAGAACTAGTATTTTCAGCCGTCTTGGCTCTGAAAGCCACGCTTTGGGGAAATACTTGGCCAGAACGGCTCAGGGTTTGGGATTTAGGGCGAGGGTTCGCGAAGTTATGGGTTTGAACACAAGTTTGCAAATTACGCTATTGTATAATTAGGCGGGTCCCGCCTGTAAGCTCTCGAAGAGCCCGAGCCACTCCCTCTCAACACAACGTCTCTAGACATGGTTGGCTTCGGGGGCCGCGGCTGATTGCTGCTATAGTATCCATTGTAGATCCCCGTTTTCTATTTGGGGTCCGCAACGGTAACCAGAAAAAGGAGCTACTATGGAGACTCTAGGTAGGGTTCAGTGAGGTCAGCGTGCTTGGTTTGAAAGGCACTCCCAGCCAGGAGAATCCTTTTTCCGCACGGGTCTCTGGTCTCTGGGTCTTCCTCAATAGCTGGACCTCCTGGTACTGCCAGAGAAACAAGATCATAACACCCTAAACCCTAAATTTAAGCCCTAAACCCGGAAAAGCCATTAAGACCTAAGCCCTGGCTGAGGATCTATGGAATGGGCCAAAGGGCTTCGGGCAAGTACTCCAAGACTGACCTTATACAAAAGCAAGCTTTACAGGAAGGCTACCTCAGAAGGTGCGTGAGAGGTTTCGAAATTGCGGCCCAAGGTAGAATCCTTATCGTTGCGATACCCTAAGCCCTAAACCCTAAACCCATCTTGGATCGATCCTAAATGTAGAATCCTATGGTTGCGATGCGACCACAGGGCCTTGGGCTTCGGAACCCCCTCGTACCCAGAGATTCCAAAATCCCTGACGAAGAATCCCCGGGGTCCCTCGTAGAACCTGCGGTAACTTGCGGCTTTGGTTAAGAAAGAGTTTAGGGTTTAAGGTTTAGGGTTTAGGGTTTGGGGTTTAGGGTTTAGGGTCCGCGATGCAGTGGTTTTGGAATCTTTGGGTATTGCTATTGAGCTCTGCCGTGTCTCGTGACGGATCTAGGTTTAGCCATTGGCGCCGAGCCGAGCAGTGCGGAAGATGTGCTCAACTCACAATGCCGGAGTTTCCGATGTAGGATCTTCCATAACGCATCTACGTATTTGAGTGGGCACCAGGGGTTCCATAAGGGTCCTGTGAGGGTATTTCTGTAAGAGTTCGATAAGCGCTTCTGGGGTGTAGAGTTAGGTCCTATATTGATCAATATAAACGAATATGAGAGTCTGAGACAGAGAGAGAGAAATAACTACACATGTATACATATATATATATACACACACACATTTGTATCTGTATCTATATCTACATCTATATATCTACATCTATATCTATATCTGTATCTATATTCTATATTCTATATCTACATCTACATATGTATCTATATCTGTATCTATATCTGTATCTGTATCTATATCTATATCTATGGTATATCTGTATCTATATCTATATCTATGTCTATATCTACAGCTAAAGCTATAGCTATATCTATGTCTATATCTATCTATATCTCGATATCAGTCTATACCTACGGCTTGCGCATGATCCAGGTATAAGGTTCGCGAGCACATGACACTGGTTCCGCGCTGAACACAGGGACCTTAATTACACATGTTGAACAAGTTTCAAGGTATCATATATGATTGGTATTAACCTTTGCTGAATGTAAAGGGACTGTACTACTAGGTTGGCCCTTTAAAGCCTTTGAAAAATATTCGTAAGTACGATCCTCTTAGGCCCAAATAAAGGGAAATATAACATGTCCCAAGGGCCTACCTAGATGACAAATAATACCTAAACCCTTAACCCACTCAAACCCCTGTCGGTCTCGGAAACTCACTGCTCGCTAGTTGCCTTGATAAAATTTTTAGGGAACCTATAATGGACCTTCGGCTTCGCCAGGGGTTGTGAAGGGTTCTGTGTAGGGTTCCTTTTGGAGGCGTAAGATTTATGGGCTTACCTTTTGTCTCCATTGTACCCATAGGCCCCTACGTAGTTCCTTTTTGTGGTTTGTATTTAGAAACCTATAAGGTAATCCCAAAAAGAAACTACTTAGGGGCCTATGGGTAGTTCCTTCTTTGGAATACCCTAATATCGGATCATAAATGCAAACCGCAAAAAAGGAATTACAATAGAGCCTATAGGTAGGGTTTACGTTTAGGACTTAGGTTTCGGGCTTAGGGATTTACTCCAAAAGCGTTGGGGATGTCAGGCGGGGCGCCGAAGATCCGGAACTAAAACCGCTGTGATCCCAGAAACCTGATGCGAGCCTGTCTCGCAGAACTTCCGGATTTGTAGGGTTTGGCGTTTAGGGGTTGAAGGGTTTAGGGTTTAGCTTTTTTTCGGGTTTATAACCCTAAATACCTGAAACCCTAAAATCTGAACTATAGGGTTTAAGGTTTATCGTGTATAAGGTTTATAACCCTAGATTCTTGAAACCCTAAACTCTCAAACTATACCCTAAGGCTCTAAGGACTCATATTTCAAGGCCTTTGGGCCCCAAGACCATACTATATAAGGCCTTTGGGGCTATTTTGAGCAAATTCCTGAAACCCTAAACTCTAAACTATATCTGTAACCGAAAAAACCTAAATGTTTAAAGACCCCTATGTATATATATATAGAAACCATAGTAAGGAACCCTGAAAAGGTAGGTCTTTCCGGCTACAGGTAGGGCTGAAGAGTCGACTCTGAACCTCGTGGTTGAGTGTGACAGGCCCGGATCAGGTCTGGTCTCATTTTACGCCGCTGCAGCTTGCATTGGCTTTGCTAGGTGTTTTCAAGGTTTAGGGTTTGGGGTTTAGGGGTTAAGGTGTAGGGACCCGGGTTTTGAGGCTTCTGACGTAGGGTTTGTTCTGCGCGGTTTGAGCCATGTAGGTTACATAAAATACGAAATTCCATCTCCCGCGGCAGGGAGCTCTAAAACATCCATGGGAGGGTGTGGCCAAGTATGAAGAACGCGTAGACAAACTTTGCGGCGACGACGCCTAGGAGCACCCCGGCACCAGATGCAACCTCATTGAGAAGGGAATTGTTTAGGGTTTGGGCGGTTTGGGGTTTAGGGCGTTTGCCGGAATTACATGGCTTCTGCACATCCTACTGCATTCTCAGTTTTTTCGAACGAAAACTTAACTCCTAGTCTCTGGGTTTAAGTGTCCAAATCCCAAATCCGAAGCCTTCAACAGCGTCACCAGGTGCTGGAGGAGTTTAGAGTGTTGATATTGGTATGTAACGGCTGTTAATCTCATACTTAGGGGTCCATTGCTGGGAAGGTTATATTCTGGATCCTACTTCTCGGGATCTATAGCAGGGTCCCTCATTCGGCAATTCCTCTCCTAGCTTCCGGAGGATTTGCCGCGTTTCGCTTGTTGTTTGAAGCCCCCCCTCCGCCCCACTGCCCACCTGTATGCCCGAGTCGAACTTGTAGAGGAAAATCCCACAGAGGAGGCCGATAGCATATCCAATCGCGAAGGTCCTTCAGGGGTTCGGGTTGGGGATCTCTAAACCCTAAACCCTAAAGGTTTTTCGGGTTTATCCTGGCTTCAACTTCAGCGATTCGGACGGAGTCTTAGGGTTAAGGTAATACCCATGGGGTTCACCAAAAAAGGGTTTAGGGTTTAGGGTTTAGGGCCGAAACCCTAAACCCTGAAGCGCTGTAAACCCTTAACCTTACCTGGGAGTTAGGGTTTACTCATAGGCCCCTAAGTAGTTCCTTTTTGTGGTTTATATTCAGAAACCTATAAGTTTATAAGGTCATCCCAAAAAAGAACTACTTAGGGGCCTGTGGGTAGGGTGTACTGGGAGTTAGGGGACACCCTTTGCAAGCGCGAAGGTCCAGAGTGCTGCCGCCGGAAATCCTGCACAGAAACCTAGGATGGGGTTTAGGGTTTAGGGCTTTAGGGTTTTAGGGTTTAGGGCTTTAGGGTTTAGGGTTTAGGGTTCAGGGTTTGGAAGGGCTTATAGTCGCTGCCTAGGGTCCAGGGTTCCGTAACACTGTTCAATGCTGTTGAAGCTGAAGTCTACTCCGCCTCATGGTAAACATGGAAAAGATGCTGTTCCGATGATTGACACCACTCACTAAACCCTAAACCCTAAACCCTGCACCCTAAAACCACTGTGCACACCTTTGCGTTTGAAGCTCTCTCCAGACCCTAAACCTTCTGGGGGTCCGGGTGGTAGTTTCTGTTTTTGAAAGAATCCGAGCAACAGGTTTCGCGAGTTCAAAAAAGGGTTTAGGGTTTAGGGCTGGATTTAGCTGTGTATAGTTTTAGGCTTTTAGGGTTTAGGGGGTCAAGGGTTTAGGGTTTACGGGAAGCAACAACCCTGTGAATTGCATGGACTGACAGGAATCGTGTCCATGCCGAAAGGTTACGTAATTAAGTAGCAGGTTGCCGTCCCTATATGTGTAGAAACTCACTATGAACGTAACTGGGCTTCCAGGGCAATCCCCTAGATCCTATACCCGAAACCCTGCGCACCAAAGAGAGGTAGTTTAGGGTTTAGGGTTGATTCCTGGTCGTTGCTGGGGTGAATTCTAAGCTGGCTCCGTGAACCTTATACCTCGGTTACCTTTGAGGCTGATGATGTTGTTACGTTCATGAAGTCCTCTGATGAGCCATTTACCCTAAACCCTAAACCCACAAACGTCCTGTGGACCCATTGAAGTGTGTGGCTTGCCGCGGCACTTGTGCCGCCACAGTGGATGTAGGGTCCGGCGGCTGTTGGCTTCAGGAGTTTATGTGGATTTGAGGTGCCCTTTTTTTCAGTCGAGGGTTTGAGGCTTTCATTTTAGGATTTTAGGATGCTCGGGCTTATGGGGGTTAGGCTCTGAGGAGATGGAGGATTCAGGCAAGATGCCAAGGAATGAGAGCCAGGCGCTGTAAGCAAAGAAGAAGCATCCGGCGAGTGCAGCAAGCGCACTTTCGAATCCATCGGGAACTGGCCAAATCCACCTGGGGCAAGGGTGTTGGCTTGAGGGCTTTAAAGAGAAGGTGATAAAGGTGACCGATGTGAACCCTAAACCCCAAAGTCAAAACCCCTGAAGCCTTAACCCTAAACCCTTAAGTCTTAACACAAAACTCCCAAACCCTAAACAAACCACTCATGCCTTATCCCAAAACTCCGGAGTCCTAAACTCCGAGAACCTAAAGCCTAAACTCCGAATCCCCTATAATCCCTAGACCCCCAAATCAACAGGCACTACTGTTGATGATATAGATCCTGCATGACCTTAAGGACCCTAAACTACGGGAATTAGGGTATGTTCGTCCTTATCCTGGTTAAGACAGGATTTATATCATAACCCTTAACCCTAAAAACCTAAACCCTAGAGATCCCTTTAAAGGAACCCTAAAAACCTGAACCCTATAGATCCCTTTAAAGGAACCCTTTTATATCATCAGCCCCTAGGCCTCTCCGAGAACCCAAACCCTAAACCCTAAAACCCTAAAACCCAAACCCTAAAAACCCTAAAACCCTAAAACCCTAAAAAGGAACTACAATGGAGACTATAGGTAGATAGGCCCCCCAAACCCCAAAGCCCCTAGGCCTCTCCGAGATCCCAGACGTGACGGCCGTGGAGGTCCTGGTCTGAGTCTCGGGCCGACGATGCAGCGCCGATGACCTCAAGACTGGGCTGGGCTCTTGTTAAGGGATTTATTTGGGGTTTAGGGTTTAGGGCTTAGGGTTTTAGCGCCGATGACCTCAAGACTGGGCTCTTCGGTTTAGGGGTTTTGGGATTTAGGGGGTTTAGGGCTGATGACCTCAAGGGCGTAGGGTTTAGGATTTATAGAGTTTAGGGCTTTAGGGTTTAGGGCTTTAGGGGTTTAGGGGTTTGGGGTTTAGGGGTTTGGGGTTTTAGGAGCTGATGACCTCAAGACTGGGCTCTTCGTCAGTCCGAGGCTCAGAGTGTTCTGTGAGTTTCTTAAGTAGGGTTTAGGATTTATAGAGTTTAGGGTTTCAGGGTTTTTAGGGATTTAGGGTTTTAGGGTTTAGGGTTTCAGGGTATTTGGGTTTTAGGGTATTTTGGGTTCTTGCTACGGGATTTCATTTCAGTTGCCATAAAAAGGGTTCTATAGTAAATAATGATAAGGTTTCCTTATTATGATAACTTGCATTAAAGCCCCTAAGATGAACCCAGAAGAGGGGTTCGGACACCGAACCCAAAGGCTCCAAGGACCAGTATAGTTTACGGTTTGGGGCTTAGGGTTTAGGATCTAGGGTTTAGGGTTTAGGGTTTTGGGTTTAGGGTTTAGGGTTCCAGTAGAGTCTATACGAATGGAGCCCAGATACCTCCTAAGAGCCTGTACTATAACGGTACGTGGACCCTTTGGGTAGAAAAGCTCCTCTACACATACGCCGTGCATTTCGGTCCGAATGGACCGTTTACAAACATATGTCGGCCACCCTGTACAAACCCAGGCCGGTCGGGCCTTCTTAACCCTGGAAGTGAAGGCCCAATTAGGGTTTAGGGCTTTCGTGGTTCAGGGATCCGGGGTTTATAGGGATCCGGGGTTTATAGGGTTTCAGGGTTTAGGGATTCGGGGTTTAGGGTTTCAGGTTTCAAGGAAGGGCTTCAGGGGTTTCGGGGTTTCGGGTTCAGTGAAGCCACGTGGAAGGTGGCAATCTGGGACTCCTCCAGAACGTGAAGCCAGTGCATCCTCCCACAGGATTTCCATGGGAGGGGAGCACCTTTGCTGAGGGATCTGGAGGGGTTCCTGAGGGATCAAAAGGAGCTCTAGAGGGGCTTAGGGGTTCAGGGTTTACGGTTTTAGGAGTTTCGGGGTTTAGGGCTTTAGGAATTTAGGGTTTAGGGTTTAGGAGTTTAGGGGCTTAGGGCTTAGAGGCTTAGAGCTCATGGACTTTCGGACGATATCTTACGGTTTGGAGCACGGTTGAGAGTCCGGACTCGAGGTTCAGGAGCTTGGGTGCACCAAACCTTCATACCACACAAGTTCAAATCGTCTTTATGCCAAACCCCTAAACCCTACACCCTAAACCCTATAAACCCGATACCATGTACTTCACCAAGGTAGCATTCATGCCCCAACATGCCATAGATGGCTTTGGTAGTGGTGTACCCTGGACGGCCAACATAGCTGAACCGTAACCCCTATTGTGATAGAATCCCTATATTCCACTCCAGGGGACTAGGGCACATTTAGGGCCATTTAGGGTTGAGGGATGTAGCACTGAATTGGGGTAGAGCTTTTTTGTGCTTGATGGTGCGAGGGATATTTAGGGCAGGGTGTAGGACTATCCCGGTGATCTTTTCATGCCTTAACGTCGATTTGGATCTCCTCTGACCAACAAACCCAACTACGAGCCTTTATTTCGACACTCTGACTCAAACCCATCTATGTTTAGGGCTTAGGGTAATGAGAGTTCCGACGACGGAACTTGAAAGCGACATGCAGCAAACGGGTGCAGCATGGAAGAGGTGATTCTGCTGTCTGTCTCATGAAAATCGTAAACCATAGCTAAACCATCAGTTCCCAACAGCCCAGCATCAACAATTGCTAGCTGGACCCCAAACAACCTACCTGTTTAAGGACTGATATAAAGAAATCATAATGAGGAACCTTAAGGACGGTTTAGAGGGTTAAGGTAGCTGAATCAATGATCGTCACGAGCATCATCCCGGAGAGGATTGGAACAAGCATTATCATGGCATGACCACCATCATCTGTATGTCCATCTCGCGCTCCTCAGCATTACTAGGCGTCGCGCCCTCTCAAGTCTTAAACCACACTGTCGATAAGTTCTGAACACGTTGCCTGCTTCGTTTGGGTCATGGTGAACGCCAGAATTAGAAACGCAAGCCGCTTGCGGACCATCGCGCCCATGCAGACGGCAGCGTCTGGAACTAAAGCTGCACGCTTGACCCAACTGGTGAAAGCAGGAGTTGTGGTACACAGGGTTTTGAAACACTTAAATCGCTGCAGCTTGCAATAACACTAGATCAAAGATAAAAGGTAGTAGCAACACTAAAACACAACGTGTATGTATATCATTATATCATACATACATACATACATACATACATACATACATACATACATACATACATACATACATACATACATACATACATACATACACACATACACATTGATTATATAACGCATGTTGAAGTCTACTTATAGCAATATGCCCACGCCCCAAACCCTCGAGCTAAGATCCCTGAAATCAACATACCCTAAACCCGAAACCCCAAGACGCAAAAACTTTCGCAAGGGTGTCGAGTTTAGGGCTTAGGGGCTTCGAGGTTGCGGGTCTAGAGGTTAAGTCTTAGCCTGGGTTTATGGGGGGTCAGGATTGAAGCTTTTATTCAACTCTACTCGGCAAGAAGCACCGGCACGTAGACCCTGAGCGCATGGTTTAGGGTTTAGGGATTTAGGGTTTAGGGTTTGGGGTTTTAGGGTTTAGGGCTTTAGGGTTTAGGGTTTAGGGTTTCGAAAATCCTGAACACTCGAAAGCCAGGGGCCTTTTGTGACCCTTAACCGCCTTAGGAAGCCTCAGCTTCTTTTCCTATGGACCCAATAATGAGGTACTTTGGTTGCGGATAGTAGTTATTTAGGCTAATCTAAACCCTAAACACTAAACCCCAATTTGGGAGAGTATATGATTATTAAGTGATTATTAGGTACTTGGACCCTTAGGGTTTCCACCCATTCTACAGCCGGTTGAACTTGAATCGCTTCGCAAGGGTTCTCCACGTTTAGGGGTTTAGGGGTTTAGGGTTTAGCTGTAGACTATTCCTTCGCCCAGAAGAAACAGTTGAGCGTTGGTTGAAGGCCCAGGGTACTCAGCAGCAGCTTATTCATGAAAACCGCGATCGCCTCAATTGAGAATCTAGGCCCTCGATCCCTCATGGAACCCGACTAGATCGCGAAACGGGACCCCTGAAGCGAGCCCTTTGTAGGATACCTTCAACCCTAAACCCTATAAACCCTGCAGAACCCTTATGGCAACCCTTCTCATAGGCACCCCTGGGAACCCTTAAAAAGGAACCCTTAAAAAAGGGAAGCCTTTTAAAAGGAACCCTTTAAGGGAAAGAAGGCCAGAGCCTCTGAAACCTTGTGCGAGTCACCCAGCTGCTCTTTGGCATCTGGCTCACCTCGCTCTTTTTCTTCCCTAAACCCTAAACCCTAAACCGTTTAGGGTTTAGGGCTTGGGGTTTAAGGATTACTTGTGGCCGTAGGTCTGGTTCTAAGGGTTTAAGGGTTTAGGGTTCTACAAGGGTTACCAGGATATTGCTTGGGCTTTGGGCTTATAATATGGCTTTAGAGTTCTTCTCAGAGACTTCCACAATCCACGAAAGGAGGGGGTCCTGGGGTCGGAGTCACAACAGTATTGGTTTTCGTAGAAACGGCTATCGAAATAAACAAAGAGCCTGGGCATAGGCCCCTAAGTAGTTCCTTTTTGGGATTACCTTCTAGGATTCCAAAAATAAACCACAAAAAAAAAAAAAACTTACTTAGGGGCCTATGGGTGGGCAAGAATAAGGATTATAGTCGTGGAAGACGAAGACCTGCGCAGCAGAGAGAGAGTTCCCAGAGAAACCGCCCTAAACCTGAAATTCTAACCGCAAGTGGGTAGTTGGTTTAGGGCTTAGAGGGTTTAGGGTTTAGGGTTTAGGGTTCTCTAAGTTAGGGTCCCTTTCGGGGTCCTTCTTATAAGGGTGCCGTACTATATTGGGGGACCCAAAAAAGGGACCCTAATTTAGAGAACTACCCAAGTGCTGCTGCTATGCTGTGGGGATCTAAGCGCAAGCCCCAAGATGTTAGATTGGAGTCTACTTCGAAATACCATAATCAAAGCCCACTGTTTCTGTCAGGTCCCTAGACTTTAGGGTTACCCTACGACAGACAGAAATGTAGGCCCAAGTAGGTTACATAACTAGGTTCCCCAGTACCCCCTTACTAAGGGTACGCCTTTTTCCTAACATTCGGCTTTAATAAAGAGACCCCCA